CAGAAACCAATACGGCTGAATATTTTCATATGTAAATATTGAGAGACACTAAGTAGTTTTAATGCCATAGAAGTGTCTCTTCACTAGTTTCCTGAATGCCATCTTATTGGTTTTGTATTTTCGACAATGCCACACCAGTGTTCAGCAACCTGCGGCTCACAAGGCATACAGACAAGAACACTTCAGTGTACGTACTCTGGGACGGGAGAGGCGGCAAACACTATGGCCTGCGTCAGTATTAAACAGCCTGCCATCACACAGAGATGCCACAATCTACCAGAATGCCCAAAAGGTAATAGGCAATGGGCCCTGAGCGGGACCAAGAGAGGGCGCAATTTTCCTAGTAATTGAGGCTCCCTTGGTACGAAATGCACTTCGTTGGTTCATGAACTACTGTGGGATACATGCGTAGTGGTTGTGTCACTACCAACAAAACAAACTCTGCCCACAAATACGGTTCTTTTTGACCGAGGAAGGGTACTTCTGCCCACGGCAGATGAACAGTGCCTGGAAAGCTTCAAGGCCGGTTCACACTTTAGGCAAATGTGGAAAGCAAACATCGCCAAATGTTTGCAGTGAAATCTGCTGAAGGTGAAAGGTGTTCAACTTTTTGCAAATTTGCAGCGTGAATACTTGATCTAGCATGAACCTGCCGTATGCCATGTCCGAATCACTTAGCAGCAGGTGAGAGTATCACACAAGTCTATAAGAAGTGGCTGCAGTGGCTACGGCCAGTGGATGGCATAGGTGCACATGTAATTTCCAGCTGCTGCCGTAACATTTAGACACAGTCTTACTCAGCGCATCAATGCCAGTGTGACTACTGACGTAGGACGAAATGCTGTTCTTGACAAAGAGCAGTCCAGAGCTGGGCCCAGTCAGACCGTGTGTGAATGATGTTGAATTGTCACACTGCAAAGCAATCAGTACTGGTTTCAGGAGCTGCGGTTGTTTCACCCAGTTTCATGGTTTCTTGTACCACAAAGCAAACCTTTTTCACGAACCACAGCAGAAAGCTCTACACCGGTGGTTACCATATTTCACAGGTCAGCAAGGACATTTGGGTGTGGCAGAAATCCTGCAACTAGTAGACTGCATTCCAGTGTTACAGTTGAGTCCACAAGAACTCCTTCAAGGAGTCCAGTCTAAGGGTGGGAATAATTTGAAAAAACATTTTGAAAACTAATAGCGTTTTAAACGTTCAAGCGTGTAAACGCCCCACCCTTATTGAAAATAAATGGTTGACACAAAGTTCCGCTAATGAATTCATGGTTTCCTTTGATATGACCGAGCAGTAAAGTGGTCTGAAAATCAGATTCCATTTTACAGGCATCGTTGACAATAAAAAATGGACGTCAGATTGTTCAACACATCAAACCTCTAAAAGGGGCGGTTCCATTTAAACGTCCCACCCTTAGTCCAGTCACAAATCCCTTCACAAGACCACACATACATGTAAGTAACATAGTGAGCAGTGACAAACAAATGCTTTTTGTCAAGTCATTTGAAATGGTTGTGACTTGGCCTTAAGACTAGATGACTCATGACAGACCAGCATGGACTTGTGATGGATTTGACTCAGCACTGCAGCATTTGTCACTCTCTCTGTTTCTTGGTTCTGACAGATACTTGTGAGGACAGCATTGCCTTCTGCAGTCTCGTTAAGAGGATGAACAAGTGTCATCTAAGTGCCTATCAGTTATCCTGCTGTAAGACCTGCTCGTAGGAACATCTTTGATAGACACCACAAATGTGTCCAGTGGTCCATAATATTGGTCTGGCTATGCCAGTGCACCAAATGCTGCAGGAACAAAATGTTCCTTTTCATTCAAGAACATCTTTTGAAGACTGGGCAAATGTGTGCAGTTCTTGTAGTCAAGCATGGAGTAACGGATTGCGCTTTTCGAATTTTCAAGCAAGGCAATTTTTTTTGGCCTGTGATTTATTTCAACTTTGAAATTTACCAAAACTCCTGTTGACTTTCTGCATGGCTGGCAAGGCGTAATTGGACATCTGCTTAAAAAGGCTTAACATTTCCAGAATTTCGGTAATTTTCATTAGTAATTTCGCCCTTTAAGATTGTGCGTGGCGTGAGAGATGCTGTCAGTTTTGTTTTGTTTTGTGTTTTTTGGTGAGGAAGTCAGATTGTTTTCAACATATTCACGTTTAGATCTGCCAAATGAAATTCACAGTAGTCACTACAAGGTAGTTCACTACTTCCAAGAATCTGAATAGGCGACCTCTGAAATGGGCTCAGTTGAGAAGAAGGTGAATATTTGTATGCAGTACTCTGAGAAGATTCATTGTTTCATCGTTCAGTTTTTTAATATGTATTCTTTGTTAAATGTGCTGTATATGTTTAATAAATTATAGACTGCTAGCAAGTAATAAAATTCATGCAGTTCCTGTACGCTGTCCGCATTAACCAAGTTAATGTCTGTGGATTTGGTGGAAGGTTGTTTGTTCTTGTTTGTTTTTTTCAATCTGAGTGGGCAAACCTCAAAGAATCTTCATTTTGCAGTAGGATTTAACGATCAATTCTAATTACATGTATGTCCTTTTTTTGTAGAAAATCTGGTGTCTTTGAATCCTATCATTGTAATCCACATACAGATACAATCAAGCTTGGTTTGTCCTTTGATCCATCAATTTGATAAGATATAAATATGTTGAGAAAGTTGGCCATTCCTGACAGTAGACTTATTTCAATTACTCCAAGGTCAGCTTTTGTGTTAGGTTCCAACTTTGTGTTAATATTGTATGTGCCATACAAATTCAACAGTGTGTAAAACTTCACCGTTATATGTAACCCATCTCTACAAAATGAGCATAAAGCCAATCTCTGCTATTTCTTATTGTGGCAGTTCAAAGCCAAAAATATTTGGAAAGAGAACCCTTCTATTTAATTCCAAATTGTTAGCACAATCGGATACTTAAAAATGTCATTTTCTAACCAAGTTTGACAATAGCGTTATTCATGCCTGGTCAGAAATTTTGAATCAGTGTCAGAAACAAAGACGCAAAGCTGCCAGAAAAATGTCACATTGTCACCTTACTGTTTATACCACTAGAAAGCTCTTTTTCAGCTGAAGTCAAAAATACCAATATCTCAATTTCGACAATTCTGACTTTCAGCTCATTTTGTGGTGACAGGTCACATATTATGGTTAATGTAGTCAGTGCCTGTTTTGCTCTCTTGGAGCAAAACCACAGATGTATTTAATTTGAATCTTTCAAGACAATAAAGAAGACTGCCATCTTGTCCCATTGATGCTGTTTGGTTTTCAATCAAATAAGACTGAAATTTTGTATATTTATAGTATTGATTCTTTTCTTTATCGCTTGATTTTGTGAAAGAGGTGTTCTACCCGTTAACAGAAAATAACTAAATATTAATAAATTTACAAAGGACCAAAAACAAATGTTTTGGATTTCACTCAATAATGAACACCTTTTCAATTTAACATGCACATCATTTTGCCTATAGGTATCATTCTAATCCTTTGCGACATTAACTTCTTTCACTGGTTTTTAATTAAAAGAAAAACAATATTCTCGCTGTATATTTATGCTTAGCCGAATCAACTTAGAGCTACTGGTTAGTTAGTTCAATATTTCGTCATTAAGAGTGGTTTCTGTACAGATATATTTATTCTGCCAGCTTAATGCGACCTTTAACATTTTGTATTTATGTGTGTAAATATGCAACAGCATTAATTGCTAGAGGTCCAAGTACATAATGTTAGGTTTTCTGGAATCGACAAAGGGTTTGGAAGTATTTCTTGCAACTCTCCCCACCCTGATTAAATTTGTAAATTTACTGTCAATAAGTCCGTCTATACTGGAATAGACACACATCAAAAAGTTGCCATTACAAGTATAGAAGTGTTTTGGTAAATTGTTTATTTTACGTGGTTACTGCTGTTGTAGGACCTAAAAGTATTTTTGGAAAAGAAATGTTTATGAATTTTTATTTTTTACACGTATGCCCTGCTATGTTATGATTGTGTTTAATTCATGAACTACAAAAATTAACTGTGATGCAAGGTGAAAAATAAGCACAGGGTTTAACAACTCGAGTTTTATTATTCATTATAAACATGAAGACAAGAGAACAGCTTTGAGATGATTAGCGCCCTCTGTGTTAACAGTTTTTTGGGGACGAGGAAGTCGCAGCAAATGTTGTGTGGTACCAAGCAACCGCACTTGTAAACGATGCAAGGCTAATTTAATTAATGTAAATTGAATGGAAGAAAAGAATGTTTATCTTAAAGCATTGGAGAAAATTTGACGAAGTAATTATTCCCATGATGACAGATTGGCACGTAAATGAAGAAATGTATACCGTGACAAGATTAGCGAGCAGAAATGCCTTGCGACATCGTTAGAATAGTTTTTCAAGATTTGCTTATAAACCTTAGATTAAAAAGATGACGGCTTCTTAGGTAAATTTGCCTCACGCTGTTGACTTTCGAGTTGACTGTACACTCATGCTGGACTAAAGTTACACAATAAAACATGAAATATGCTGAAACAGTAAAAATGTCTGATTCTTTGAGGTTTAGTGTGGATTATTGCCTTAGGTTGGTCATTAAAAATTCAAAATTTATCACCTTATATCACCGTCTCTTTGAAGTTGACCGTAAAACCATAGTTCAAGAATGTTTATGAGTGTAACTTTAAGAATCAATCCATGAGGTGACAGACAAAATGCTAGTTTCACGAGACGAAGCCGAATGGAATCGAACATTTTAGCTGTCACTGAATTAAATTATTCTTTCCACTGCACAAATGTGAAACATTTATTATTTTTTTATACAATACCTGCATTAATCCTCCTCTTTAGGAAAACAAAAATAATAGGTCCCACTCGCCTAGTAACGACCATCATGTATGTGGGCTTCAGTAGAGACCCTTAACGAGACATACGTCGACGTTCACCTAACTTTCCTCACACAGCGTTGCCGAGCGTGTTTCTTGAAAAACTTGAAACTCGTCTGGTTAAAAACCGGAACTATTACCTTAATGTTACATGGTCTTTACCCTTGTTAACAATTTAATCGTCATGAAATTAAGTTAGAAATCCGAAACTGTTGGCGTCTGAAAGTTTGGTCGAAATCAGCTGAGTGTTCCCTAACGTGGCCTATTTGACAAATTCTGGAAAAAAAACAAATAATCATTTACAAAATCATTTGAAGTTGATAACTACCCATCCATAAGCTTGTACGAAAATTCTTGTCCTATTTTGCGGCACCTTTTAAAAGAGTTCATTTTGCACGTCTGAAAAAAATCGGAAAATCGGGCCAAAATAAAAATGTATCCAAACTGTGTAGCCCGAACGTAAAATCCAGATTTATGAATCAGAATAGGCCTACAAGGAGTTTGATGAAATTTCACAAACTTTGAAATTAGAGCTTAAAATATTACTCCGTTAAGGCAAAAGAAGCGAAAAATGAAAGTGCACTACGTCAGGGGCCGCGCCACGTTAGGGTAAATCAACAATGGAACAGATTGGTGTCCAAAGTGCTACCCACTCCTTGTACATTGCCATGCTAAGGGGCCATTTCCTATGCGCGTCAACACTTGCACCAAGTGTTGCGTATCCGTCAAAATCGCTCCCCGGCGATTTTGACGCCCGAACACAACACACACGTGTGTTAACGTCAACCAGGGCAACTTTGGCACCCTGAGGTAACTTTGGCACACGCCACACCCCCTTGTTTGTAGTTGTCATATCTTCGCAAAGAGCTACATGAATGATATGAGATTCTCTCAAATGAGTCTATGGAAGTAATGTTATCATAAAATACACCTGGAAGCTTCGCCCGAAGGGTTTTTCATATGTAAAACATATATATCCGCTATTATCCGTTTTTATTGTTTTTATTAAATTTCAGGAACCTGCAAAAGTTGCCCCAAACCACAGGGTAACTTTGGCAGCACTTAGGCCTAATTAAACTCTCACAATCAAAAGAAGTGGATGGATGTTTGCTACTACTAAATTAGACTTCAGGTTTCATATGACAAAACTATCCAATCAACAATTAAATTATTTCTGTTTTGAAAAAGCAGAAATGATGAGGATTTTAATCTGCCAAAGAGTTCGGTTGACAGTATGTTAATGGAGTTTATTTTCGTATCCGTGAAAACGAAACGCATGAACGCACCTTGTATACGCAGCGCATTGTGGAAAGGAGCCTTTAGACTGGTTTCCGTCCCTACGTTATTTTCTATTTCTTCCTGGGGGGAAATGGGGGCGGAAACCAGTCAAGTGAAATCAAGCTCTATTCGATGATACCTGTAGAATAGAATGGATAATTCAATGACATGTATCAACGATCTACCAATCAGAAGACAGTGATTTACGCAGGTACGGGTGTTGTGTCAAGAATAGTGTTCCACATCTATAGTGGTAATCAGTGGTATAATGCACATGGCGTCGCTCACCGAACAAAAATAAGGCCTTTCCACATTGCAGCCTGTCAACCCAGTTTGAACTCAACCCAGGGCAAGCTCATGGCCGCACCCTGGGTTGAAATTGGATTTTCAACCCTGCATTCATCCCAGCATTGTTTCACATTTGTTTCGTGTGAATTAGGCTTATCACAGTGAGTTCAACCCGAAAATGAGCACAAACAATTTTCAGCCCGGGTTGAAGTTAATCTCGGGGTTGACGCAGGGTTGAAATTGTTCAAGTGTGAATCGCCACCCGTTTTCAACCCAGCTTCAACCCCGAGATTTGCCTAGTGTGAAAAGGCCTATCATGTGACAAACGCGCGCGTGGGACGAGTGGGTTTGTATTTATAAATGGGCCAGTTTGTTTACGCGGATCTGGATCGCAATCAGTGATCCGTCGTTGGTTCAAAGACCCCAAAAATGGATGGAGCGAACTAGCGACGGGGTCGAGATTCAAATCTGTGTGAAACAAACTGGCCCAATGGGTTTTGGGTCCAATGAGCCAGCTCGGTATTGAAACAGTGCATGCTCAGTACAAGGCTACTTGGCAACAGCTAGGCGCACAAGCAATAATCTGTCCCATCAGCGCAGCCATATATATAAATTGGCTCACGCGTACTTTGTTCCTGAATGACCTTGGCGCTTTAAAATAACGAACTTGCTAATAGATGAACAAGAACAGACCGAATTTAACGCAGGCCAAATTTCATGGTACACCGGTTTGGACTTGCATTTTTGACGTCAAGGTAAGTAATATAAAATATCTAGTAAAAGTTGAACATATTTTCAACTCGCATATTTCACAATGCACTATAACGACAAGCTTCTTCACTGTCCCATGAGACTTGACAAGGTTCATGCTCATACATTTCCCTGATGACGTACTCCCATCTCTCGTGTCTGTCTTGTCTCCTTTCACTTTGCCACAGCAGGGCACTCAATCTGTACCACTTCTGTTTGCGTCACTGGATGAAGATCTAGAGATCTGTTGTACGGCAACTGCTTCACTCGAACCCCCTTCATACAATTTCTGTTTAAATAAAATGAGCGGAAACTTGCGTTGGCGCCGCGTCTCCTTGGTTTCTGTGTTTTTGTACCCGGAGCTCATCTGCTGTATGATCCATCACTCAAAAACATACACAAGATGGATGAGAGAAAGGAGCGGACCTTGGCGACAAGAGATACATACTCCAAACTTGTCATTTTGCTAAAGTTTGAGCAATTCGGGAGAGCAGTTCCCAAATGATATATCTTGTCTCGACTGTGCTGTCAGGTGGACCATTTTGTCGGCCGCACCATTAATTTCAAAGTGGAGTGGGCTGGGGTGCTAGTACCATGCAGCCAAGAAGAGACGTCGCTTTTATATTTCGTAACTGTTAAAATGGTCGCATCCTACGGACGAAAAAAAAACCACTTTATCTTGTTTAAACGATTCATCTCGTTTACACGACTAGGTATCTCATGTAAAAGACATAAATGCAGATGTCTCGTTTAAAAGAGCACTATGTCGTTTAAACGAGATAAAAATCATTTTTTCGCGTTGGCAGGAATACGCTTCCGTAGCATCCCACTTCCCCGAAGGACCACGCCACTGGTCTGAACCAAAGTTTCAGGCCATTTACTGTCCATTTTCTTCCAATTTTATGTTTTATCACATTGATTTCCACCAAAGGGTTTGCTAAGCTATTCAAAAAGGCGTTGTTAAAATATTTCTTTTTTTTTCTCTCTATGTGAGAGTGCAATGACCTTAGCCCGATTGCATCAATGAAGTCCGCCCTCACTCTGTAGTTCCCTGCAAAAGTGACTAAGCAATATAAAGGCGAACTGGCTTGAGACTCCGCGTCCGTGTCTTCTTCCGAACTGTTTTTTTTTTGTCGGCGCTCGAGGGTTCCTGGGATTGCATCTAAACCGAGAAAAAAAAGGAGAGATGAGGTGGTATTACTAAGATCGGACAAACGAAAGGCAGGCTAATCATCAGTTAAGAACAGTTCATTCGCCAAATCTCCGATTACTAGTTGAGCTCTGTCGCTGATTCCACGTTAGTGACTATCACTGCTATCGATGGGGGAGTGAACAGTTTTAACAAAGGATTTGTATTGGACAAGAGTCACTGCCAGAATTAAGAGACGCCCAATAGTAATCTACCTAATACATGTATTAATAACTCTGCCGGTGAGTTTACGCGCTGTTCCATTGGCTAAAGGATGAGTGACGTCAAAGCGGCCCTGCCATTCATTCAGTCCTGGGTAAACATAAGCTTGGTACGGTGGACGATTCTTTAGGCGTGGACTCTCTATTCATTGTATGTTTAGCCGTGGATATCCGGAAATTACTGCAGAGCGGAAGAAAGAGTGACTTAGGGAGAGACTGAAGTGAATATGAAAATGCAGTCACGTGTGAAAGGAGTTCAAATTTGTGCCGCCTTGGGCCAACCAGCCACGTGCTACATGGTGAAGTGTTAGATTTTATAATGCGAGTAAAACACGTAGCGTTGTTTCGACAGGGCCATCAGTAACTCCATCGCAATGGTCGTCAGTGGTGCGGAACCTCTCGTCCAGCAGCGAAAGTATTTAATTTCAGGTTTTCACACCTCTGATATTGGTCGGTGATGATCGCTCCCGGGCTTTTCATTGGCGCTCTGGGAATCGTCAATTCCAGGGAGGGAAACTTTTGACGAGTCTCGGCCGAGACCACTGGATCGGCAGCCTGGCAACGGTCTGCCGACTCAATTCAGGAAGAAAAACTGAGGAGAAGTGGTGGCTGACGGTGAGCACTGAACCTCGCCCACTGGTTGCGAAACGCAAGGCCCAGGCTTGAGCCAAAATAGAGAAGTAAACGTGATTTCATCCAAATCACATTTTACTTCTTTGCAGTCGAGAAGCCCAATCTAGATTCCTCGCTGTATCCTGAGAAGAACCTATGACTGTTCTTTGGAGTTTTATTTGAACAATTTTTTTTCTTGAAAACACCGTGAACTTCTGTTGCTATGGATTTGGCGGGGATTGTAACAACCATCTGCATTCTGGTGTGGCTGATCGGCACGGTGGCCATTGTTCCGACCGAAGCCGGGAAGAATCGAAACAAGCCCCGAGACAAGAACAGCAAGAGGGGCAACTCGGACCGGGGCAAAGACCGCGAGCAGCGACGCGACGGGCCCGAGAAGGGACGGGACCGGGGGAGTCGCCGCCGGCAAGGGGGAACGAGCCGGGACAGGGAGAGGAAAGGGAGGGAGGTAGAACAACTCCGCTGCCCGCCCTGCGAACAGCTCCACTGCAATCCCAGGAAACCCTCCAAGCTGAATTGCAAAGGGGGTATCGGCGCGGGGATCTGCGGCTGTTGTCCACGCTGCCTCAAGGTGGAGGACGAACTGTGCGGCGGCAAGTGGAATTACCTGGGAAGCTGTGATGCGGGATTGGAGTGCGTCCAAGATGTCATGCTGGGGGTACAAACTGACGTACCTCGTGACCAAAGAAAAGGCATCTGCAAGCCAAGTACGTGAATCCAGTTTTATATTTTCCCCAATCCTTTAGCATTTCTAATAGAACCAACTAACCCGAAAGACTCTATAAACAAAAACCCAAGATGACACAGTTTCGATTGAACCTTGAGTCATAAACAATCATCTCCAATTACTTCGTAATGTTATTAGCCTATAGCGTCATTAATAATAGCTTATTGTGTATACACGAACCCGTTTAATCATCGTCACAAAATGTTGATTGGTATAGAACATAACCCTTTTCTCTGGCCCGCCGATGATTGCCAGAATAATTTTCCAATTTGGGTATAATATCTGAATTAATCACATCAAATGAATTCTTCGCGTCTATTTGAGGGGCGGTACATTTGCTTTGTTTCACCGACGTCACGCCAACGCAACATTTTCAACATTTTTCCTAAAGCTCATATTTCGAAATGCCAACACATTACGTGACCGTCAACTATTCCAGATCTTTTGAACAACGGGAGAGCGGTATGCAGCTCCAAGGATCCAGTCTCAATTACTAAACACTTTTTAAAATTCGCACAGAATCACACTCCAAGGCTCTCTCGGAATTTTTGTATTAAAGTGGTTGTTGTGGCAACGTACTGGCACGCATTCTTCTCGATTCTCTCTTTGATGAGCGACAGAACTTCGACATTTTTATTATTATTTCCACGGTTCCAAACTCGTAACGAGAATACTTGGCATTCCGCGTAGTCATTTTTTTCCCTCACTGTCCCTCATTCTCTTTGAAGTCCAAGGTTACGAGGTTCTTCTGTCAAATGGCAGAATTTAGGTCTCGCGGGGAACGCCGCCCGACGCAGATATTAAAAGCATGTAAGCCAATATGGGTGTTAACAGTTCGAAACCACCTTCACCAACAACCGTGCCCAATGGTACCCTGCCGTAATATTTGGGGGATAGATTTACACTGTATTCTGAAGAGATCACTTGATTGAATTATGGGTGTTTTTACAACTAAAATTGCAGTTGGTGACTTCTGCAGTGAAAATGAATCCCTATGTTACTCCGTAAAATACACAGAAGTAATGGACCTTTAGTTTCGAAACAGCTGTCGAACAAATATCATTATAGTTCTAATGACAATCGCAGAGTATAAACCTTCCTTCATCAAATGTTCTTCTTCTCCCGTCTATAGGCCTACTTAAAGTCAACTAAGACATTCTTTATTCGGACATATTTTTCACCATTTTACCACGAAAAGGTTATGCCTTTTAATTTTAATACCTGAGTATATAAGTTTTTTTTAATTGACAAACATCGAAATGACAAACTGATTAACAAGATGACACTACCAGGTGAAGACGTTAGCTTGGCGGAATTTCCCCCGCCAAGCTACCATCAACGCATCATCAAGAGAGAATTACAGGGCGCTGGTGGCTTGTTTGACAATTAATGTTGAAAGCGGATGAGATAACACAGCCTGCGGCGGGGGGGGTTAAGTAAGCACAAGAAAAAGGGGAGGAAAAATGGGAAACTGTGATGCGTTTTCTTCCAAAATCAGACATAAATGTATTGATTTTAAAAAGCCTACCCCCCAAAAAAACACGAAAAACACGCTGATTTTCTGCTTTATTTTTTTCATGAAAATTCAAAGAAAGTGCTTGAGCAAGAGTTTTTCTGCAAATTCACTTTGAGAAAAAGACACTTGCCTCCGTGTCGTCTTAAAACGAGAGATGAATTTCCCATAGACTACTAAATAAGACCAGTTTTCCCAAATGATGGTTATAAAGGAAAAGGTAAAAACAGGCTTGTAGCCACTGGTATCTTAAATTGTGGTCTGTGCACATAATGTTTTACAAAAAAATTGTCTTTGAGTTGAACTATGGAGACACGCGTCGCGTTTTCCAGGTAAAACGGGAAGGACCGATTGTGACATTTAAAAAAAAATTCAAGACGAATTCAGGGCAGTGGTAGCGAAAACATACACTGGTTACAATAAGGTTTACTTGGAAAGGTTAAACAAACACCACTCTTCCACCGCAAAGTCAAAAGGAAATAATATATTAGTCCTGCTTTCTACGGCGTGCTACAAGTTTTGCTTCCCTTTCTGACTTTCTTGCTTCGGGCGAAATGAGGGTTCCACCAGTTTTGCAGTAAATATTTGCATCAATTCCAAGTCGTCTTCCCAGATGACCAGCTGCATCCCATTTCGAGAGTGTCAAGTGTTGTCTTCATGATAGACTGAACCATCTCCCCTTCAATAATCTAACCACTGCTCGATTTCAGTGAACCCAATCTTTGATACTTTGTTTGGATGGCAAATTCAGCACCTTGATTAAACAAATAAATTCATTCTTGTAAATATGTCCATTCGAAAAGTTTGAAATGTAGGCCTACGGAGAAACTTTATATATTAGGCCTACATATACTCGTCTTTTCACACCATACCAAATATTTGACCTGCTGTCATGACAGACAGTTAACCATGTTCACCATTTACGGTTGCGTACTGACTGGTGTCTGGTTAAATGCACAAATTAACGTAGGTACACGTAGCACCTTGATATAAGCCTAGGCCTATACATACCTCATGAGATTGTATAGTAATAGAAAATATTACATGACTTTTTTCGCAATACAAAAGAAAGTTATGAATTTAATAGCCTGTTCTCTTAATTACGAGAAAATCCAACGAAATGGAAAATATAAAGCAATCTGGACATGACAAAGGCCCTTTACTCGAATACGAGCTGCACTGCAGTATTGTACGGTACAGACCGTAAATACAGGTCTACGGGTGAACTTCCCCACCAACTCCCAAGATGATCTCAGCTTGCGAGGCTATATTTAAAATAGCTTCAAATAAAATTAGGCAGGTATTTTTTTCAATTGGGTGACCTGTGGTGAGTGTAACGATCTCGACGCGAAACGCTGGTAGCAGGATTCCACGGTTCGTCTTTAAGGGCGCGGGAGAGGCAGAACAGAACCCCGTTCCGTCTAATTGGAGGAAACTTCACTTTCCTGTTCCACAGTCACGCACGCTTTATGGAAACAAAAGGCAATGTACTGTATAAGCATAACAGCTCATAAAGTCGGTTCATGAACTTCATTTTTCGTAGAAGAAATTTTTCAAGTAGGCCCATAATAATACAAAATACAATGTGTCTGTATACTTGGGGCTAAAGCATTTATGTGAGTTTCGCTAGGCCCTACACGGTATTAGGCTATTGGAACCGGAGTTAAACCGTGTCGAAGACTCTTAATCGCTGTTGTAATTTGGGGGAACAATTTATGAACAATCGTTTTAAAACTGCATTTTAAACACCGAAGAGGGGACTGTCTGTCGCCTGAAACAAAAAAGATACATGTACTTCTAGCCAGGCCACTGATGGTCTTTGTAACAAAATGAGAGGAAGATACATCAAAGCCCCAAAGTCGCAGAAATTAATATAAACACTGAAACATGTTTCCCATTTAACATGGATTCGACCGAGCACAGCTTAAGAAATTGAAATCCAGACTGTAGACGTTCACGGAACCTAGATACCCCACACAATGAATGCATGAATGTACAGACCGAGGTCAAGGTAACATTAGGGTTCGTACATGGTAGACGTGGTTCAGGGACAACAAGGTCCCCTTTCCATCGATTCCTTTACGCAAGTTTATTGCTCACAGCCTCGGTTGCCCATGATTCGAGAATGACTCCATACCCCAAATATCCGGCAAATTACGTTGGAAGCACCTTTTTGCTCTTAGAACATTACTGTTACACAATGTAAACATCTTCGTACATAGTACAACCCTTAGATCTTATATATCTATCGAACGAGCCGCTTCCCCAATTGAAACCTCTGCAATCTTGTAAAGGGGTATGCCGTTTGAAAAAAATTGGGCAATTTTGCCAAACTTGTAGGCCTACCGGTATCTAATCGCGGGGTACAGGATGAATCGCTGAAATGCGGGACAAGAAGATTGCTCATGCATAGACTTGTTTGTCAAATGGTCGGGTAAGCTATCTTTGGGCGTTCAATAACTCGACTATTTGTACATAATTCACCTTAATTGAAGAAATATTAGTAATTAATTGCCATGGTTTGGTTGTGACATCTTCTGCAGTTCCCCTGGAGCGTTCCCAGCCCGGTCTACCGCCCGTTGACCCTTCCCTCGCCATCAGTGACCAGGGTCAGTTGGAACAGGTGCAGTGTAGACCCAAGTGCACACCCGAGTTCTGCGCAAACGACAGGAAGGCTATATGCTCCGCAGTGTAAGAATTTTCCCCTTTTCATTACTGGAATTTTTCAGCTGAGTGATGAGATAGCATGGTCCATGTCTTGTCACTTTGACGAGCTGTTTCGTCAAGATGAGTGAAATCTGCCAAGTCTGTTTGCATTAAAGTTGTATTTTCTGTGTACAATGCCTTAAAATCTGCTCTTTTCAACTTTTTATTCAAGCATTGATGGATGGAATGAAACATACTTTTTGTCTAACAACAGTAACAGCCCAGTTGGTACACAAAATAACGTATCGTATCTTGCGTTTCCGGAAGTCACTGCCCTCTCCTGAGTTTGTGTCAGGAACATGACTAGTTATTACAATGATGATGAACCCGGCACCACCTTGAAATGTTCCCACAAGGCGTCAATAGTGGTCTCAATCTGCGCCTGCGCTCTTCTAACTGTACAAATCCAGTTCGTTTTCCAACGACATTTATTGCCCTGCAATGCCCCCATTAATACTGAACCAAGCCCCCGTGCGTCCTCATCACCGAGTTACATGCGTGGTGTGTGGAGCTGTAAAGATCCTATAATGCACTTGTGAAGTCTCAAGTCGAAATACGAAGCCTCTTACATGTATATAGTGTACCTGTTAATTTGATGAAAATTATCTCATCGAGTTATACATCTCGAAATATCAATAATTATTGACAATTTAGCAGGGGGTTAAAACACCCAAAAATTAACAAGAACCATCGAGGTGCTGCCTTTTTGATGAAACACACATAATGAAAATATTATTTCTGTAGGCCTATAGAGGATTGAAGAAAAGTGTGGAAAATTTATGAGAGTAGAGGTACAGAACTTGTTCAGCCGTGCTCTTGAAAACACCCTCTTTCCTGGCAGATATATGCAGCCCTCTATTTATCCTTCGCTCTGGTCACCCATATTTTAGGCCATTTTTTTGTTTGGCCCACAAAGATCAATAATTGGGTGTCGCGATGATTGCGCAAAACGTATTTAGCCACAGGAGGTTTCACACTCTCTGAATGATGGGCGCACTTTGTTCGTCGGCGAGCTGTTTCGAGACGCATAAAAGAGCACTTTCAAAACGGAGTATCTATTTGTTCGAAGCAAAAGAAGACTCACCAACAAATGATCACTTCAGAACAAAAATAACAAGGCAGGCGTCTGGCCGTACGCCGCACGTTTTGTATTTTACTGTCTGCAATTACAGTGCAGACAACACAAAATTTGAACAATGGTGTGGTTGTTGTACTTCCCCAATTTACATAGGCCCCACCTGGCGTATGGATATTGCTTCGCTGTGCATTCTACTGGCAGCACATGCGATGTGCATGTTTATTGTCTCAGTTCTTTGTTCGCTTGTGATATTTTTGAAAAGGGAAATGCAGGAGAATACAAGCTTTAGAACTGTAAATAACCTAGTTCCGTCCATGCCTCTTCACACAATGAACAAGTGCTAAACAGTGTTCACATTGTTTTCTATATGATTTAGGTGTTACTTTGGTGACTGACAATGATCACTTGACAGTTTTTCTTTACTTGCATGCGTAGTGGATTAATTTTTCTTCATCTTCCAAGTCTGTTGGCGGTAATTCTTTTCTGATGTCGAGAATACAGAGTACGGCACAATTGTGTGCAAATGCAGACACAAGGAGCTATCATGGAGGTCCAACTGAAAACCTACTACAGTTGGTTGTTGATGTTAGGCGTTAATCGTCTTGGCATTACCCGCCTTTAACTGACACCTCCAAGTGAGAAGCTGTTGTCGGATTACCTCCACTTCAGCTAGGTAAAAGCTGCCGCTGGTGTTCATTATTGTGCGAAGTAAGCCTTAGTAAAACAACCCGCCAAATACTCTGGATTGCAGACCGGACAATAATTCAGTTACGATTGTGTAATTCTATTTAGCGATTGGAAAAAAAGGTGACACAAAACTTGAAAGCAGGAAGAGCTTTTCATTGTTAAGGCGTCCGCCGACAAATCCAGGGCACGCCTAATTCATTCGCTCAATTAACACAAAAGGCGACATGTCTTTTGTGAGCGCTACAGCGCTCAAGCATTGTAGTAAACGCCAGATACTCAGCCAGGTACTCGACACATGGCTCAAAAATCCCACAGCTTTTATTCAAATATCACTGTTTCTGCTCAAAGAAAATGGATAATGCGAAAAGAATAAAATGTGAGCCACGTATAGATCCCCCAAAGTGAAAAAAGTCAAGGAATATTTGAGAAAAAAATAGTCAATCTTGTTCCGCTGGCATGAAAGTAGTTATACACATATGCATTACAAGTATATGTCGGTGGAGTATGTCAAATGAATTCATTGGATGTGTTTGTAAGACGCATCCCAGCAATCCACCAAAAGATCTCCAAGAGGTTTTGAAACCAACAGCATACTCCAGAAAATACAAATCTAACACAGACGTCCAGCAACATTGGCCCGCACAACAAAGGGTGGATTTGGGAGAGCAGATTAGAATTTACAAGACTGCCTAAACGAAACAGGGAGAGCAGCCTGGGCCACTAACGGAGGATCTACATAATAGGATTTCACGGTCGTAGGGATTCACCCCTCAAAGGGGGGACGCCGATTGAGAACCGTCAATGACATGTCACACGAGTGTGTGTGTTGTTCATTCAAAGAATGTGCCAAGTGTAGTCTGACAAGAAAGTAAATTGTCACTGCTCAGGCTGGGATGAGATTACAGTAATGGCGGGAAATGGCGGTGACGAACAAGACAATTATCTGAAAAACACAACATCACAACTCCATGTCTTCATGGTGTTGGCACTGTTTTCGCCACAGATCTAGAATGAACAGTTCAGTTTAGAGTGATGATTCTACTGCCATTTTGTGACCTGATGACACACTAAAAATGAGAACAAATCTCTTCACGTCAAACCGTTATTTTGTGTAAGCAGTCAATTCAACCTCGCATATAGGGAGAAGGTTTACATGTGCATGACATGTATCTCCGGAAAAGTTTCTTAATCTTTCTAGCGCAGGTGTATTAAGGGAGGAAGTGGGTGATGTCATTACTGCCAGAAGCCAAAGCTTGAGCATCCCATGAGAAGTCTAAAGGAACTTCAACCCACAGGGATGCAAACACTACTTTGTTTCCCTTACAGCATACTACAAAACACAATGTATTGTGCTTTCCAACTTAGACAGGATTTCCATAACATAATCACCAGGCAAGCATATGTCCTATGATTAGAATGTCGTACATCAGCCGAAGTGAAAATCTGTCACACAAAGATTTCTTGAGCTTCACACCTTTTCACCTTCTCAGCTCTTGAGGCGAGTTCCTCTGAAGGCAACTGTTTATCTAGAGGTGCTGGCGCCACACATGAAATGTGTCCCAAGTTGTTGGTTGGTGCATGCCGTGAGGAAGAATAACACTCTTATTCCTACACGGTTGATGTGCTTTTAATTACCAATTTACTGGTATTACAGTCTCCTGCAACTGTGAAATGGTTTGGTCTGTTGAGCATCAAAGGTGTGATGGACAAACGAAGTTGGAATGAGCATTTGAGCTTATGAGAAACACAGATGCATTCAAAAGTGTTGAAAGTAAGGAGGGCCTCACGTTGTGATCTATTTCAAAGAGGGAAAGAACACAGGTCACGGACAGAGTGGGAACTCGCCCGCCAATTCCCCTTCATTATCATCACCGGGTTGACATACTGATTAGAATCAGATACAATTTTAAAACAAAATGTTTGTGCAAAATTGGTTTTCTTCCAAATCTGTCCGTAAACACCTTAGACTACACGACAGAGCGTCTGATATCTGAACTGTATAGTTTTGCATTCGTGATCAGAATCACGTGATCTACTTAGCTGCCTTCGGCCATTTGCAAAGGGCTTGGGGAGGGGGTCGAGGCAAATGGTCCACTCAAAACAATATTGCCAAATTTGATTGGACCCTGGTGGCATATCCAGCAGGATGTGGGGGAGTCGCTTTTTCTTTCAGAATCGAAAGCACCAGCGCTCTAGAAACAACACCACCACCTTTCACTGGAGATTCTTTTATGGATGATGATATCTGGTCAGTAATCTTTTGGGGGAAAAATAATTCCGGCCTTCTGGACCCAAGACCTGAATGTGTCACAAATGAACCCCGTAGTACTAGTAAACAGTGTGGAAACTTTAACTAGGGAATTCAAAGACTATTTACGGCTTACAAAGCACAAATGTCCTGAGAAAAACTAACAAATATATGTAAATGTTAACAGTTGTCAGTAATGAAGGCTTTGGCTTAAAAAAAAACATTCTACTTGAGTGCTAACGAAGATCCAGCCCACTCTTTCCCTTGGACATCTCCCCTATAATTCCTTGCTTCCGTGCCACAGTTCCGCACTGAGTGCTTCATCAAAGTCACTGGTTGTAAGATCGAAGTCGGTGTGTAGACCCAGTAACTTGTTGAATTTATGCTGGTGGTCTTGGACAGCCAACGGTAAGACGTCTGAGCTAATATGCAGAAAGTCCTGGAATTGAATCCAGCTGGGACTCAGCTTGTGCGATTTCACGTTCCCTGGATTTTTTTCCAAGCTGATCTCAATACAGCTTTTTGATTATGCAAGGCAACGGTACTTCTCAGTATTTTATTATTTTATCAGTCAAAGCAAAAGCACTTTAAACGAAAAATGACTTAAAATGAATCAAGATCTTACAACTAATCGCCAACAATGACAGGAGAGAGGCTTAACAGACTGAAAATTATCCAAGAGATCAGACAACTTAAATATACAGCACATCTCGTCATCCTGATGCAACCACAGGTAACACTCTCGACCAGGGAAAATCCATTTAATGGGGCAAAAGTAAACCGTGAAATGATTCCTAAACAACAGCATGAAACTCGCCCAAAAGGCCACCCAAAGACGTGAAGAGAATATCCCCAGATAAAACCCAACCAGCACACAAATATACTACACTGAGGGCATATGTAACTATACAGTTTAGAAAGGCATGGTCAACTCTCGCAGGATGGCAATTTCAAACGAAGGTCAACACTGTC